AGAAATGAAAAGAGGAACCAAACAACAGACACTGAGGAAATCAAAAAAATCATTAGGTCGTACTACAAAAGCCTATATGCCACAAAATTTGAAAATCTAAATGAAATCAACAATTTTCTTGATAGATTTCATTTACCAAAATTCAATCAAGATCAGGTAAATAGATTAAATATTCCTATATCCCCCAAGGAAATAGAAGCAGTCATCAATAGTCTCCCTTCCAAAAAAAAAAAAAAAAAAAGCCCAGGGCCAGATGTTTTCAGTGCAGAATTCTACCAGGCCTTCTAAAAAGAGCTAACTCCAATTCTCTTCAAACTATTTCACAAAATAGAAATAAAAGGAACATTACCAAACTCATTCTGTGAAGCCACAGTCACCTTGATACCTAAACCACACAAAGACCCAACAAAAAAAGAGAACTTCAGACCTATCTCTCTTATGAACATTGATACAAAAATACTCAATAAAATACTTGCAAACCAAATCCAAGAACACATAAAAGATATCATTCACCATGACTAAGTAGGCTTCATCCCAGGCATGCAAGGATGGTTCAATATACAGAAATCCATCAATGTAATCCACCATATAAACAAACTGAAGGAGAAAAACCACATGATCATCTCCTTAGATGCCGAAAAAGCATTTGATAAAATCCAACACCCATTTAAAGTCTTAGAGAGATCAGGGATAAAAGGCACATATCTGAACATAGTAAGGACAATATACAGCAAGCCTATAGCCAACATCAAACTAAACAGAGAGAAACTTAAATCAATCCCACTGAAATCAGCGACCAGGCAAGGCTGCCACTCTCTCCATATCTCTTCAACACAGTAATTGAAGTCCTTGCTAGAGCAATAAGACAATTAAAGGAGATCAAGGGTTACAAATTGGAAAGGAAGAAGTCAAAGTATCACTATTTGCAGATGATATGATAGTATACATGAGTGACCCCAAAAATTCAACCAGAAAACTCCTTCAGCTGATAAACACCTTCAGGAAAGTGGCTGGATACTAAAGTAACTCAAAATAAAACAACCAGTAGCCCTCCTGTTTACCAAAGACAAAAGGGCAGAGAAAGAAATTAGGGAAACTACACCCTTCACAATAGCCACTAATAACATTAGGTACCTTGGTGTGACTCTAACCAAGTAAGTGAAAGACATATTTGAAAAACAAAAACAAACAAACAAAAAAAAAAACCCTTCACCTATCTGAAGAAAGAAATTGAAGAAGATGGAAAGATCTCCCGTGCTCATGGTTCAGGAGGATTAACATAGTGAAAATGGCCATCCTGCCAAAAGCAATCTACAGACTCAATGCAATTCCCATCAAAATACCAACACAATTCTTTACAGACCTTGAAAGAACAATCTTCAATTTCATATGAAAAAACAAAAACCCTAGAATTGTTAAAACAATCCTGTACAATAACAGATCGTCTGGAGGTATCTCCATTCCTGATCTCAAGCTGTCCTACAGAGCAATAGTAATAAAAACTGCATGGTACTGGCATAGAAACAGAATGGTGGATCAATAGACTCAAATAGAAGAGCCAGAAATAAACCCATATACCTACAGATACTTGATTGCCAAAAATTCAAAACCATACAATGGAAAAAGAACAGCATCTTCAACAAAGAGTGCTGGTCTAACTGGATGTCTACATGCAGAAAAATGCAAATAGATCCATATTTATCACCCTGCACAAAACTAAGATTCATGTGGATAAAAGACTTCAACATAAAACCAGACACACTAAATTTGTTAGAAGAAAAGTGGGGAAGAGTCTTGAACTTACTGGCACAGGAGACAACTTCCTAAACAGAACACCAACAGCAGAGGCTCTAAGGTTAACACAAACAATAAATGGGACTTCATGAAACTTAAAATCTTCTGTAAAGGAAAGGACACTGTCATCAGAGCAAAACACAGCCTACAGACTGGGAAAGGATCTTACCAACCCTACATCTGACAGAGGGGTAATATCCAGAATATTCTAAGAACTCCAGAAGTTAAAAAGCAACAAATCAAGTAATCCAATTAAAAAATGGGGTACAGAGATAAACAGAGAATTCTCAATAGAGGAATATCAAATGGCAGAGAAGCACTTAAAGAAATGCTCAATGTCCCCAGTCATCAGGAAAATGCAAATCAAAACAACCCTGAGATTTCACCTTTCATCCATCGGAATGGCCAAGATCAAAAACTCAAGTGACAATACATGCTGGATAGGATGTGGAGAAAGGGGAACCCTCCTCCACTGCTGGTGGAATGTAAACTTGTACAACCACTTTGGAAATCAATCTGCCACTTTCTCATACAATTAGGAACAGTGCTACCTCAAGATCCAGCTATAATACTCCTAGGCACATATCCAAAATATGCTTAAGTATACAACAAGCACATTTGCTCAACCATGTTTGTAGCAGTTTTATTCATAATAGCCAGAACCTGGAAACAACTCAGATGTTCCTCAACAGAGGAATGGATATGGAAATTGTTGTACACTTACACAATGGAATATTGCTCTGCAAGTAAAAAATCATGAAATTTGCAGTCAAATGCAGGAACTAGAAAAGATCATCCTGAGTGAGGTATCCCAGGAGCAGAAAGACACACATGGTATATACTCACTTATAAGTGAATATTAGGCATATAATATAGGATAAACATACTAAAATCTGTACACCTAACAAAGCTAAGCAAGAAGGAGGACCTGGGTAAGATGATCACTCCTTACTCAGAAAGACAAACAGGACAGCATTGGAAGTGGGAGAAAACAGGAAACAGGACAGAAGCCTACCACAGAGGGCCTCTGAAAGACTCTACCCAGCAGGGTATCAAAGGAGATACTGAGACTCATGGTCAAACTTTGGGCAGAGTGCAGGGAATCTTATGAAAGAAGGGGGAGATAGAAAGACCTGGAGGGGACAGGAGCTCTACAAGGAGAGCAACAAAACTAAAAAAATCTGGGCACAGGGGTCTTTTTTTCAGTCTGATATTCCAACCAAGGACCATGCATAGAAATAACCTATAATTCCTGCAGAGATGTAGCCCATGGAAGTTCAGTCTCCAAGTGGGTTCCCTAGTAATGGGAACAGGGACTATCTCTGACATGAACTCAGTGCCTGGCTCTTTGATCACCTCCCCTTGAACTCAGTGGTAGGCTCTCTCATCAGAAGGAGGTGCAGCCTTACAAGGCCACAGAGGAAGACAATGCAGCCAGTCCTGATGAGACCTGAGAGGCTAGGATCAGATGGAAGGGGAGGAGGACCTCCCCTATCAGCGGACTGGGGGAGGAGCATGGGAGGTGATGAGGGAGGATAGCATTGGGAGGAGAAGAGGGAGAGGTCTACAGCTGGGATACATAGTGAATAAACTGTAAGTAATAAAAAATAAATCAAGTTAAAAAAGAATGTGTCTGGATGTGAGCAGCAACCCTTTGGCACTGAGTTGGCTCCCTCAGTCAACTGGGAAACTGCCCAGTGATTGTCAAGTTTTATTTCTTAGTGCTGCTACCAAAACAATGAAAACAAAATTAGCTACTTGAGATCTAGTTGAAGTGTTAGTACATTTGTTTATTTTTTCCCTTTGAAGACATTCACTTGTAAAACTTATTAGGAAATTTTACACTCATTTTTTTCTTCTCTAATTTTTACAAAGATGAAAGGTAGGTAAGAAAAAGTTGAATCTCTAGTTAATAATAATAATAATAATAATAATAATAATAATAATAATAATATTTTAGTATTATTATAACATTTTCTGTCATTGAAAAGATCCTGAAAAATAGAGATCACTTTTACTGATTGAAATATGTTTTAGTAAAAGTATAAACAGAATAAAAAATTATTTTTAAATGTTTCTACAAATCACTATTTTGGTTTTGTGAATCACTCTGGATCAACAATTGTTTCAATAGTAGATATTCATCTCAAACTGTGTTCTCTTATACACTCTGCAAGTGACAGACTGTGAAAAATACTTTTATTATAACTCCAAAGGATATGGAGACAGCATGGAATCACCCAGGAGACTGTGGATAGGAGAAATAGAATTCATGTTTTTGAGGAAGTAGCAATTGAAAGGTGTTATATAACTTAGCTTTGCTCTCGGTCCCTCGTGTGAGAACAAGGTACAGGAGCTTAATAAACTGCACTGTGAAACATCATCTTGGTTTAAGAGAATAACCTTCATGATAATAAAGAGTGTGCAGCAGAAACCAACATGTGGTAATTAAAACAGAAATTAAAGAAATATTCTTCATTTTTGTTTGACTTTGTAGGTATGGACCCTTCATAAAAAGTATTCCTCTCAGATTGCCTCATATTTGAAGCATCCACCAGGGATGTGGTGCCATACACCTTTGATCCCAGCACTCAAGAGGTAGAGGCAGGCGGATCTCTGGGAGTTCCAGGCTGGACTGTTCTTTAGAGCTAGCTTCAGGATAGCTGGGACTACACAGAGAGACCCTATCTGGAAAAACCAAAATAAGATAAAATACAATCATCAATGGGAAAAAAAAAATACTGAAGCGTCCGCCAAACAAGCGTTTAGATGATGAACTTGGGTTGCTGGAGGAACACCCTTACCCTTAAGACTGAACCTGAACCTGAGCTAAACCAAAGTTACTTAGGAGCCAGTCCCTTTCTAAGTCTGCCTGTGATCACAGGAGAAAAACAAAAACAAAAACAAACAAACAAAAACAAACAAAAAAACACAACAAAACTAGCTTGTAAAATTAATCGTGCTATAGCTTTTAAAGAGTGTTCAGAATGTTTTTGTACTTACATCTATTGACTCAAATTAAGAAAAGGTTACTTGCTGAAAGTGAGAGCATCAAGGGTTTAAAAATGTATAAAAATTAGTTTTCCTTCCACATTAACAGACAATTGTGAGATTAATTTAAGATGAGTAAACTCTGTCACCAAATTAAGAGAGAAGAATTTTGACAGATATCTGAAGCCACAATCAAGGAGCAGAGCGCCGCTGACCCTGCAGAGGTAGTTATCCAGGCTTTCCACGAAGTGCCACGGCCTCGAGCTTGGCATCACGGCGGGTTCTCTTTGAGCGATGCCTCCGCTGTGTCCCACACCGTTGCAGAGGCGTTCTGTAGCAAACCTCGGGGCAGGGCTTGTCGCCCCTGTGTTTGGGACAGAACCATAAGGCTCCATTTTCTCAAAGTTCTTCCTCATGGCTTCATCTTGCCTGACCTTAGACCTGTGAAGAGCACGAATGAACACATAAGTGCCTCATTTTCCCATGAAGGACCCCCTAAACATGGTAAAAGAGCAAATGAATTTCCCACCAAACAACGTCTGAACGCTGTGAATGTGTCAGATAAGTCCTGTGTGCAGTCACGATTTAAAGCTGAACTGGAAAGGATTCTAGTTCCGGATTCCAAACTAAAAAGAGAATCAGACAGTGGAGGAGGCAGAAAAATGGCTGTCACTGATGTGCAGCTTAGCAGGCTAACCCTGCTGGAATGGCTCTATGGCAAAAGTTTTGATGGTGTTATTAGAAACACTCGGAATTGCCAAGGAGCTGCCTGGATGATGTGTGGAATAACTTCCTTCCTTATAGCAGGAGCTAAAACCAACTAAAAGCGACTTCTCAGACAGCTCATCCCGTGTTCAGCAAGTCACCATGGACAGGGCCAGCCATCCTGTCTCCACACAGCCCTCCCAGTGAACACGGCATTTGTGCTTTTCTTCACCTTCACGAGAAGTTTTTTCTTCACGAGAAAAAACTTCTTCAGCTTTTCTTCACGAGAAGTTAACCTCTCGTGACTTCACACAGCACAGAGAACCTTAGGAAGATCATCTGTCTGTACAACCTCTCTAGTGGTAACACCAAGCAAGGAGACCAACAAAGCCAACAAATCTGGGCCCAGGGGAGCCTGCAAGAAGAGACTGATGCACCGACTAAGGATCATGTATGGAGAGGACCTAGACCCCCTGCTTAGAGGAAGCCCATAGGCTCCTCAGGCTCCATGTGGGTTCCCTAGTAAGGGGAGCAGGAGTTATCTCTTACATACACTTGGTTGCCTGCTCTTTGATCACTTCCCCCTGACGGGGGTGGGGGTTGGGGGTGGGGAGGGTGGAAGTGCGCCAGGCCTCAGAGGAAAAGGATGAGACTTGATAGGCTAGGGTCAGATGGTCAGAGAGGAGGGCTCCCCCTTTCTGTGGACTAAGGGAAGGGGGTAGGCAGAGGAGGGAGGGAGGGTGGGCATGGGAGGAGATGAGAGAGGGGGCTACAATTGGGCTATAAAGTGAATAAATTATAAAAAATAAAAATTCAAAAAGAAAATCAATTAAGTGCTAGAATGTGGCCTGGGTATAGCAATATCACTACTTGACCCCCTGGGCTTAAGTAGCATACTCTAATGATAGTTAAAACTATTAACTTAAAAATTCCTGGGTGTCCTGATTTTTACAATAGGATAGTCCCTAAAAGATACAGTATACAGATATTGCGGGTGTGGGGCGGAGAAGTGCAACACACTCTTGGAAAACAATAGAAACTACTTTAGGTATCTTAAAAAACATCATTTTCCATAATTATATTCTCTAGCTTGATTTCACCTCGTTCAGTCTTATGAAGGTCTTTCACTGATAATTACTCATCAGTTACAAATTACGGACATTAGTTTTCTCTCCCTCCTCATACGTGTATTGCTTACATTAATTGTTGATAAGCTAACGACTTTGTCGCTTCTACCCTTTCCAGATAGGGGTCCTCATATCGTTTCGGTTCAGCTTCATTTGATGCTTGATGAGGTAATTCTTGTGTGTGTTTGCGTTGCGGGTTTCTTGGTGCGGATTCCTGTGGCCTTATGCATGAGGCATTACGGTTTCCTATTATGTCATCAACAGTTCGCTGATGTTCTTCTCTGACCTAAAAGAGATTTAAAATATGTGTATTTAAAATTGTGGTAATAACACACGTATGTGCTTGATCCCTACAGTTCCAAGTCAGTGATTCTGAACATTTAAATATGTGATAACTGTGACCTTAAAATATTTTTCAACAATATTGTCTACATTTGATATGAATTGAGAACACAGCAAAAAAAAATGGATCTAAGCATATGTGTGTATATTTGTGTCTGTGCATGTTGTGGCATGATAAAAAGTTCTGGGCCATCGGTGGTAAGTCCTCTACTGCTGACCTATAAACTGAGCCCTGAATCACCCTCATATAATTGCCATGGAATTAGATATTTTTGAAAACAAAACAAAACAAAACAAAATAAATAAAAAATATGGAGAGAGAATAATTTAAATTAAAATTATTTTCTGAGTATGTTATTCTCTGGACCTAGAATGTAAAACTGTAAGTGCTTCAGAAAGGCTGACATGAAGGTCATAAAGGCCATGGGGAAAAATGAAGCCAAGGCCTCAGGAGAGGAAACTGCTGAGAAACAGCAGCTGCAAGAAAACCAGCAGAAGAATGGCTGAGAAGAATCACCCTTGGCAATTTTCATGAGTGCAGTTTTAGTAAGACTTTAATAATAAAAAAAAAGCGTTCTTACAAATGCTAAATTCCCATGAATAAATATATCAGTGTGGCTTGCTACAGTGAATATTGTAAATAACACAATTAACAATTAATAAAAATGAATCGAGGTCCTAAAAGAATAGATACTTTAACCATATGTTTAGGTGGCAAGACTCATCCTGGAATTCCAGAGGATGCGGAAAAATATGTCCATGAGGCTGTGGATAAGAGAAACAGAATTCATATTCTTGCGATAGTTGTGATTTGAGGATGTTTTATGTTACCCCAATCTGAGCTGTCATCCTTTCAGGTAAAAGTCAGGAAGACAAAAATTACTCTATTTTGACAATTGAAATATTTGATTAAGGAAATTAATTTTATTGTAAGATTGTGCGGCAATAATCACATTGAACAAAAATTGAAATCAACATGTGGTAAATAAAACAATAATTGAAGACATAAGAAACACTGTAAGATGTCAAACTTGGGTTGCTGGAGGAAGACTCTGTACTATCTAGAGACAAACCAAAATTACTTAGATGAGCCAACCACTTGCCAAGTTTACCTACAACAGCAATGCTGGTTTTCAAAAACTTCACTTCTGTGCAGCCTGTAAAGAAAATTAAGTGCATCTGAGTGGCTGTAGCTATTGGCTCAAATTAAGGAAAAGCTACTTGTTGAAAATGCACAGGTGGCTTTCTTTCTTCATTAACATGCAATTGCGAGATGCACTTGGAACAAATAGGTTAATTAACCAACTGAATGCATCACCCCTTTAGAAACTGGAATTCTGGCAGACATCGAAACCAAGCCAACACTTACAGCACAACTCACCCTGTTTAGGAAGCTCGCCACACTCTCAGTGAGGGGCTGGGGCCTGGAGCTTGGGATCAAGGGTTCTCTTTGCGTGATCCTTCTGTTGTGTCCCCAACTGTCATAGCGGCTCCCCGAAGCAGTAAGGCCTGCAACAGGGCTCAAAGTGTGCGTGTCAAGTGCAGATCTGCTCGTTTCCATCTCTTCAAAAGGCCTCCTCGGGGACTTGTCTTGCCCCTCCTTGGACCTGTGATGACCACAAAGGCAACTACTAGGTGCCTCGTTTTCACATGAAGGATTCCTAAGTGGCTGACATCTAAAAGTGGCAATCCAGTAGATGAAACTCTCCGGCAGACAAGGTCGGAACCCTGCGTGTCAGCCAGACAAGCGCCATGTACAGTTGTGGTTTAAAAACTGAAGTGGAGAGAATTCTATTTCTAGGTCCCAAAACTGACATGGAAATCAAACAATGCAGGAAGCAGAGAGATGGCTGCCACTGACGTGTGGCGTAGCAGGTTAAAGTGCTGCCCACTGGAATGGCTCTACTGTAGGATCTTTGGTGGTGTCCTTAGAAATACCTGTATTTGCCATGGTTTTCCAGGTGGGATTCTGAGACAAATTACTAACCCTTTTCATGATGATGATTTTTTTTTTTTTTTACTTACTTTAGCTGTTTATGAGATGAGGAATTCGTCTTTTCTTCCCTTTCTAGACAGGGCTCCTTGTATGGTTTGGGTTCAGCTTTACAGGAGGCTTGATAGGCTTGTTCTTCTGGCTGTTCAGGTTGCAGATTTCTGAATGAGAATTCCCATGGATTTATGAATGAGGCATTTTGCCCTCCTAGTGTATTATCAAAAGTCTCTCCATTTTCTGCTCTTAACTGAAAAGAAAAATTAAAGGATTTTTTAAAAATTTGTGATAATTACAGATGTTACATATTTGATTCCTTTAGTTTTGAGTCAATGATTCTGAAAGCTTAGGTGTGTGGAAGGGGCAGTCTTAGAACACTTATCAACAGTGTTGTGTGCACGTTTACGAATTCTAAGAGGCATGAGCCAGGTTCATGTGTGTCTTTGTGTTCATATGTGGTGCTGAGTGTCATACACAGTAGGTTCTGATTATCGGAAGTAATTCCTCTATTACTGAGCTATGTACCCAGCTCTGAATCATCCTCACGTTAGTACACAAGTAAGTAGAGACTTTGGGGAAAAAAAAATCACAGAGTGTATTATAAGTATTTATGACAAATACTCTAAATCACTTTTAGGGTCTGTTATACTCTGGACTGAGAATATTAAACCGTAAGTGTTTCAGAAAGCCTCCTGTCAGACATCAGGTGGCTGTTAAAGCACTGCCCTAAGGACAGCAAGGCCACGGAGCAGCTGACACAAAAGCTGAGGCCTGTGTGATTGTTGTTGCATAGAAGCTGCAAGAAAACCAGCAGGGGAAGAGCTGACAAGAATCAGCCCTGGGAGGAACTATTAACTGAGCTGGGATCAAAATGAACTGGAACATTTCCTTAGGGAGCGAGCTCCTTCCATCCTAAGCAAGCCGCCACAGGTGTGAGGTGTGACCTGTCCCTTGTCTTCCACACCGCCTGCCCAGTGAACAAGGAAGTGTCTCTGACTTTGTAAATTAAAGTTGGCCTCATTCATAAGGACCAATTATTTGATAAGGGTTGAGTGCAAATGAGCATAATTTTCAAGTGGGAGAATGATATACATTTTGACTAGAGGACCGGGAATTTTTTAATATTTATCCCACAAATGACGGAATACAGAAACACCTTAAATTTGCTTCTTATGAACAGAATGTGATAAGATTCATGCCCTGTGACTTCCAACAATAGTGTAGAAAGTGCTTTGTATCAATTCATCACGATGTTGTGAGGACGGTTGTCTACAAGGAAAGCCTAGGTGTTCTACCTGAGCGCTCCGCTACCCTACCGCAAATGAATCTCCTGCCAGCATCTAATACCAGTATGCAAAGCAAGCAGATGCATTAAGGAATACAATTCCAGTCTCCCAGCCTTTCAGTCTGTCCCAACTGAATGCCATGGGAGAAGAAATGATCTGTCCTTGTCAAAATTTTCTCAATCTTTAGAGTTTGTAACAATATGAATATTGTTTAACCCAAGACAAGGAATAGGACAGGGACCTTCCACAGGGGGCCTCTGAAAGACTCTACCCATCAGGGAATCGAAGGAGATACTGAGACTCATTACCAAACTTTGGGCAGAGTGCACGAAACCTTATGGAAGAAGAGGGAGATAGAAAGACCTGGAGGGGACAGGAGGTCCACAAGGAGAGCAACAGAGACTGATACTCCAACTAAGGACCATGCATGGAGAGCACCTAGATCCCCTGCCCAGTCTCCAAGTGGGCTCCCTGGTAAGGGAGGGGGCAGGAGCTGCCTCTGACATGAAATCAGTGGTAGGTTCTTTGATCACTTCCCCCTGGGGGCTGCAGCCTTGCCAGGCCACAGAGAAAGATGATGCAGCCAGTCCAGATGAGACCTGATAAGCTAGGGTCAGATGGAAGGGGAAGAGGTTCTCCCCTATCAAGGGACTAGGGAAGGGGTATAGGAGAAGAGGGAAGGGAGGATGGGTGGGACTGGAAGGAGATGGAGGGGTCTATAGCTGGGCTACAAAGTGAATATAAAATAAATAAATAAATAAATAAATAAATAAATAAATGATCAAATGATAAATATGAAATGAGCCAGTGCAGAATGTCACAAAATTTAGTCTCCTTTAAAGAAGCAAGCCATACTATTGAGGAAAGAAGTTTCATGTCCTATCATTTAGATTTAAGTTCTTAAAACTCTGTAAATGTTTTTAATTTTATAAAAGAAAATCAGGAACTATAGACTAGCAGGACACAGGGATAAGTACAATTTCAAGAGTAGCGGGGAAGTGACTGTACTTGGAGGTAGTCGCCAACCACCTCTGATATCACCCTCTTTCTGTCCAGTATCCAGTAATGATCCCCAGCCCTTCGGAGGAAGGACTGCAGTATATACGTTCTATTTAGGTTTTAAAATTATTTTATTTTAAAATATTACTTATTTATAAAGAATTTAAATTTATTATTATTATTAATGACTACTGTCAATGTGGAATGTGACTAGAAAGTGTAATCACTAAATTAGGAACTGGCAAAATTACAGATATGGAATTTTATAAATGTATTTCATTTGACTATTTATGCTTTCACATTTACAGACGCTCATTTTTGCTCAGTTAAACCATCCCTTGAAATTATCCTGAGATCTGTGATATAGAAACAGTCATACAAAGTTTGTTGCTTTGTTTTTAGATATTAACTTTGTTTTGTGAAAAGAATCAATTCCTTATTCTTTGAATAGAAAACTGACAACTTTTTCATTGATATCAAGTTGGTAGCTTTTTTAAAACATCTCACTTTTTGTTAAAGCACTGAGGGGTTTATTTACCGAAGTGACTTTTTTGGTCTCCTAACTCAAGTAAAATTACCTCATGTTGTGGTATATCAAAGGGAATATCCATTTCAAATTGTTTGGTGTTCAGAACTTCAGAGAAACTACGTTCTCCATTGTCATTGTCATGCACAGTTGATGGTTTTGTCGGTTTAAAACATTTGTTACTTCTACAAGAATGTAAAGATTGAATTAGTGACAACTTCTAAAAGGGAAAACATAAGCAAAGACACAAAAAAATCAATAAATTATGATTCTCATTTTTTCAAACTAACTTTATTGGAAGGCCTTTAAAATTACAACTTTAAGTAAGTAATATGAAGAAAAATATTAAGACACACAGCATATAAACAGCTCACATTGGGCACAAATGATGAATCAGCAGATATAGGACTTTCTTTGTAAGTCTCATGATCTGAATTCAGTTCCCAGAATCCAAAAAAGAGAAAATATGAGAGCTGATATCATGACATGGTTTTCTGATCTTCACATACATATGCATATCCACATGGCTGATACAAATACTTTCAGACATATTACCCCTGTTATCTATCTATCTATCTATCTATCTATCTATCTATCTATCTATCTATCATGAGTCTTCCTTATATGTAGCTTTATATCCAAGAAATCAACCAGGTATCCATGGAAATATTGGAAAATATTGAAAATATACTGAGACAAATCTTATTTCTACTCTTTACTCATTAAACAATATAGCAAAATGAGTCCTGCTTACAACTTGAATTATATATGGTAATAAAACAGGTTTCTCTCCACAAACTGACAGTAAGATTTCGTTGCTGAAGACAACACCCACCCAACTCCTTGAACATGGATTGAACTGGTGCCTGCATAGAACTTCACCCGTATGCTGTGGTGTCCTTGGTATGGGACGGTACTCTTCAGGCTACCAAAAGAGACACATAAACACCAACCCAGTCACAAAACCTTTGCTTTACTATGCAGTACTGCCTGAAAAATATGCTAGGGCAATGATAGCACAAAGCTTGTGGGAACAACCAGCCATATCTGATTTAAGGCCGACTCCACAGGATGGAACCCAAATCTGACATTATTTGGGTAACCAAGAGCCAGAAACTAGATAGCCCAGAGACCTAGGGTAAAAACAAATACTACTGGTCTTTAAAAAAATATGACTCTTCATGATATTCTGTTATACTCGTAGATCAGTGACTTATTTAGCCATCATTAGAGAAGCTGCCTCCTGCAACAGATGGGAACAGATGCAGAGACACATGGCTGTACATTAGAGAGAGAGAGAGAGAGAGACCTTGGAACACAGAGTTCTAAAAGGAATATCTCTCTATCAAATCCCTCCCCTCAGAGCTTAGGGAGTCCTGTGGAAGAGGAGGCAGAAAGAATGTGGGCCAGAGGGAATAAAAGACACCCAGAGAACAGGGCCCTCGAAATCAATGGAGCAAGGCTCATATGAACTCCTAGAGACTGAGGCAACAGGCAGAGGACCTGCACAGGCCTGCGCTAGGTCCTCTGCATGTATATTATAGATTTCAATTTAGTGTGTTTACGGGACTCCTGAGTACTTGAACAAGTGGGTCTCTGATTCTTGTGTCTTCTCTTGGGACTCTTTCCTTCTGTTGGTTTTCCTTGTCCAACTCAATGTGATGTTTTTGTTTGTTTGTTTGTTCGTTTGATCTCATATTTTGTTGTTATTGCCTAGAAACCTGTTCTTTTATAATGAGACACAGAAAGGGAGTGGAACCAGATGAGAGGGGACATGGGGAGAAACTGAGGGAAGTGGAGGAAGGGGGAGCTGTAACAGGATATATGTATGACAAAATAATCTAATTTTGATAAAAGGGGAAAAACCCGAAAAATATAATGATGAAAAGAAACTTTGTGATAGAAAAAGAGACATTAACCTGCCGATGACAAAGTTATTGGTGAACACGACGATGGTGTGTGTGAGTGGCACGCTGTTTTGTATAAGGGGCTTCAATATACATAGTGCAGTTTGGAAGGTGAGAGATGCCTTTGGACTTAAGAATGAGGGCTTGGTCTATATCTGGGGCTTCTGCGTGAAGTGACTGTAGTCCCTGTGAACATGAGACTTGGCTTGACATGTAGGCTCTTGGGGGAAGCGTGATAGGGTTGTACCCTGATGCCTCTTTGGGTCTTTTTGCATCCTGATCTACGGAGATGTGAGCAACGTGAGGAGGCAAGCAAATGCCCAGGAAGGCGCTGTCCTCCACCGCGCTTTCTCCACCAAGACTGGCACTCTGTAGGAAGGATTTTTATAGGGTATTTGGTTGGAGTCATGACAGAAAGTATAGAGCATGGATTTGGGTTCCTGCCAGGTTTCTCAAATGAATCCCCTCCCGAGGTCAAAGCGTGAGTAAGCATGTATGTATGTGAAAATCATCCTGTATTTACCACAGTTGTTTTCTCCTGGGAAAAATATGTTTTAAAACCAAATAAGAATAACACAGAAAATTTAGTATTTATAAAGTAAGGAGAGTTGTAAGGCCTTTGGTTCTGAAATTCAATCATCACTTCAAGATGAAACCAGAGACAGACCCAATGAAATTTGCATTTATTTCCCCCAAAGGATGTGTCATAGAACAGTCATGACTTCCTTAGCTTAGGCAGGTTAAGGTCTCTGGATGTCCGCGTGCTCCCTTTGTACCCTGCGTACTTGAGTCCAGTTGGGGAAGGAATTTGCACTATTTCCTCTTCTCTTGGAAGAGCTCTGAACAGCCTCCCACGTATTCTTCAAAAACAGCCAAGTCCTGCCCCAAGTCCAACCCCTGTCACCAGGGAATCCTACGCGCCAAGTGGTTTTCTGACTTCCCCATGGGGCCAGGTTTTGTTTCAGACAAAGAAAAAGAAGTGGGGACCGCAAGTCCTTTATAACAATTGTATTTCGCTTCGTTTAAGAGAAAGATCCAGCACACAGGAAAAAGCCTTCGCTCACACACCCCAAACAAACGAATCAATACAGACGTATGTAGACAGGCAGACAGACCGACAAGCATTGCATGTTAGGTGCCTATGGAAGGCAGCTAGAAAGTGGAGTGTATCTGACTGGTTTATGCTGTTTTCTGAAAAACAGAGCAAGGAGATAAAAGCAGAATCAAGGTACTTTTGTTGTTGTTAAAAGACAACACTGATGAGATATTCTATATTAAGGTGTTAAGGGGTGCTGAAGGAAAGGGCAAAAAGAAGGAAAACATCGTCAGAACAAAAATGCAGGCCTGAGGAAGAGTGCAGCTGAATATCAAAGACCTGCCTGCTATCACTCCAACACCACTGAAGAGGAATGAGGCTTGCACAATTGGTTGAAGGTTTTCGTTGTGCATTTCAGAGGCAAATTTTAAATTACTCTAATTTAGGTAAGAAAAAATGCAAATACAAAGTGAATTTTTACTTTGATTGTTGTACAGGTACAGTGAAAACAAAGAATGAATGCTTAAACAGGCATGAAATGCCATAAAGTCTTACGGAGCTTTCTCTTTAGCTAATTCCACATGTTTCTTCTTGGTTTGATCCAGCTGGGACTGCGCAGACGGAACTAACTTGGCGAGGGCTTTATTGAAATCTTCACCGTCGTCTGCAGGCTTTGAAAAGGGGGAAAGTTAGATTTTAAAAACACAGAACTTGTTCTTTCTGGGATATTTCTCACAGGTTTACACGAAGCCAGGCAAATTCTCTACACTTTGCAAGCCGCATGCTGCCAAGCACAGGAATGAAAGCAGAAGACTTTTCCTAAAACAATTCAAATTGATTGACATTTTCATCCTTCCGTATTGCTGAAAATTACACAACAAAACACACACATACATACATATCTATCTATATCTATATCTATCTGTCTATCTATCTATCTATCTATCTATCTATCTATCTATCTATCTATCTTTACTTATGCCTGTTAATAATGTTTTTTTCTGGCTGTGGCTGCATTTGAAATTAGCCCCAGAAGCATTTTACTTTTGATGAATTTTATGTGCAACTGACTCTAAATGAAAGTGCCATCACTTTTATCATGCACTCAGACAGGAGTTTTGCCTTTTGAATACTATAGAAAAATCGGGCCAGGGTTAGGGCTCTGCCTTTAGAGTGTCTTTGGCCAAATCTGACCAACTCAGTTTCAAGCCTTAGGGAACGTATGTTCGAAAGAGGCAATAGGCTTCCCCAAGTTGTCCTCTAGCCGCAAGATGCTTGCTGTTCACCCCCGCCAAAACCTAAATAAATGATGAAGATTTTAAAATCTTAAAAAAAAAAACTGCACAGTTCAGTATTTTGTGCATCAAAAACTCAAACTCATATTGTTCAGAGGGGGAAAATAATAATAATATGACTAACCACACCCAGGCTGGTTGCTATGCAATGATTTGAGGATTGTGGCCCTGGAGCAGGAGCCACCACGTTCTCTTGGGTAAAGAGGTTTCCCGAACTCGTGTGAAAATTTGCGAAGCAGGAACTCTGAGAGGCAAGTTGGGAGCTCAGTATGTTCAGTAATGACGAGTTGTGCTGAATCAGCATGACAAACTGGGCCGTGACCTCCTTCAGCTTAGCTTCAGTCCTGTGAAGAACAGGAAGGACAGCAGTATCTCACTTTCCCCTAATCCACCCATCAGACAGACACCGTGGGTCATCTGTCTCCCATGGAGCATCACACACGGAGGAAGGAATTATTTGGAAGCACCTTGTGAAATACTGCCTATTTCACGTCATGTTCATATTTCCTATGTCATGGGTGTGCCTTTATGGAGAACAGAAATGTTCAAAAGTACTGTTTGTGTCTAGGCTTCCTTTAATGGAAATGCTGGGGCTCAGAGGCCAGGCAAGTTGCTTAGAGGCAACCGATATTCAGGGGAGTGGAGCCTGTTGTCCTCGACACTGTGAGTTTATGCTACAGTATTCTAGAAAACATTCAAGCATTTATATTTCTGGGAGTGTTGATAAGCAAATTTGTAGCAATATAGGTGGATTAATTAAAACTATCAACAAATTTAGTGAAAAAGAAATCTAAGAAACCAAGATAAATATGAGAATACTAAGAGAGAACACGCCAGTGTATAGGCCCATAAAAGGGAAATGACTTTTTGGATTAGCTTCCTACAACTCATTCTTACAGTTCATGTGTCATCATTGTTTTCCAAGATCATATTTTCTGGGTAGCTTTTATATCCATGAAATTATTTTGTTAAAATGCGCTTTTGTGACAGATGGTTAAGGAGTTAGACTAATGTTCTACACGATTCTTGGGCTTGACTTACTCCCTCAGTCTATGTGATTGATGGAGTTTGATAAAGTTTTCCAGCATCATTCCATCATTACGTGTTTGAATCTTCATTTCAGAGATTTCTTTTTCCAGATGTTGAATTCTGAGTTCCAGCTGGCTCATTACTGAAGTAATATAATTTTCTCTGAAACTGTTTAAAAGTTCCTGACCTGCTTGTGTCTGAAAAAAAATTCAAAAGGATTGAGAAGATATCATTTTAAATAATCACAATATCAATAGCAGTGTGTCATGTTTCTATAGTTCTAGCCAACAATTTAGCTGAAAATTAAAATGTGTTAAAAATAGTGGACTGTAAAGTAGTTACCGTCCTTATTTACTGTATTTAATCTAAATTTTAAAAAAGTGGTTCATTATTGTGTGTACACACCTAATTTCAGTTGCTTACGTCTGAAAGAGATTTGAATAGTTATTTATCAATGTATAATAATGTATTTTCTTTTTGCTCGGTAAGTAAATACAATAGGATGATGAAACACTTCTCAGGACTGTTGGGACTGATCCACAAGCTAGAGGACCTTGAACACAACTCTGCCCTTTCTTTGTCTCACACTTGACTGTATGGGGAAAGCAGCCTGTCAGACTGCAGAGCTTTTACATGCCACACTAGCCGCCTGTAAGACTGGCAAGTCCAGTGACTATGTTCTAATTAATGGAGCTCCTGCAGCCACCTGTAGCCCAGTCGTGAACGTCATCCCTCACCTGAGGGGAGACTGTTTAGCAGCTGCAGGAACCTAGCTGTAACCATGTAAGGAAGCCATTCACGGAAGCAGTGACCCTCATGCACGGAAGGCTTCACAATGGGGCACTGGGGTTAATTCTCGTAAACCTGCATGAATGGCTGAATTCTGCCCTTTTTCATAAGTAGTTATGACCTTTCAAAAGATGTTTACAAATTAGCATCCAGAAGTATATACACCAATCCTTGCCAAGGTTGGACTCTAAAGTCCTTGAAAAGCTAATAAATAAAAGTAAATTTAAACAAACAAACAAACAAACAAACAAACAATGTTTTCTGAACTTGTAACACTAGGGAAATCTGTTCTCTTCTATAGTACCACTTGATCTAGCAGCCATTTCTTTATTTCATCAGCCACTAATTCCTTTTTTTCAAGATTCCAAAGAGAAAACCACATTTCTTGCGAACAATAGTGAATAGTGATCTCTGTCATTAACTCCCCAAAGTTGCTGTAATTAATCCTACAGACTCACTGACAGGTTCATATTTTAAGATAAATTCAGAAATGTACAGAATGTTAAATTTCTCAGAAGATTAAAAGATTTGTAAAATATAATAGCGTTCAAGCAAGATTCTGTACATCAATTTCCAGCACATTTTTTTTTGTCAGAGCAGGAAATTATAAAAATTAAAGTGTTTATTATTGAATGAACTGAGTAAAATGCTGTATATTTAAAACTTTGGTTTAAAACTACTGTAATCCTATCCATCACCACATTACTATAACATAATTATACGAGATTTGGTCAACTTCTTTATGATCAAGAGGATTGGCATTAGTGTTAACAATATGAATACTGCAAACGTCTTCAGTTGTCAGAATTCTATTATCACCTACAATATTCCTACATCCTAAAACTAGAGAAAGAAGATTTCCACCTCAGCTTGGAAGAAATTAATAAAAGGCTGACTTACCAGATGGCCAGTTCTTGCCAATTTTTTTTCTTCACTTGGTAGTTTTAACTCGAGCTGTTCTATTGTCTCTGATTGCTTTCTGATGGTTTCTATTAACTTGGAAACTTCCTCTTCAACCCTAAAAGGTATCAATCACTCTGAGATTAATTGTCAAATTAGCAAAAAATTGCTAGCTGCCATCTTGCGTCTCCACGTGTGTGCGCCTTATCTCAGCTCTTCTGCCCGAGACCCCCTGAGCGCGAACCCTAGCCCCCTGCATTGACAAGATGAAAGAAACTATCATGATCACGAACCAGGAAAAACTCGCCAAACTGCAGGCACAATTGCGCATTGGTGGGAAAGGAACTGCTCGCTGAAAGAAGGTAGATCTCAGAAGAGCCACTGCAAATGATTAAAAAAAAGCAAACAAAACAAAACAAAACACGCAGTTTTTCTTAAAGAAGTTAGGGGTAAAGAATATCTTTGGTATTGAAGAGGTGAACATGTTCCCAAACCAAGGAATACTGACTCATTTTAACAACCCTAAAGTTCAGGTGTCTGTGGTAATAAACGCCTCCACTGTTACAGGCCCCGCTGAGACAAAGTGGCTCACAGAAATGCTTCCCAGCATCCTAAGCTAGCGTGGTACAGACAGTCTGCCAAGTTCAAGGAGATTGGCTGAAGCCCTGCCCAAACAATCTGCGGATGGAAAAGCATTGTTTGCTGCTGGAGAAGAAGAAGAAGATGATGATGATAAAGTTCCAGATTTGGTGGAGAATTTTGATGAGGTTTTTAAGAATGAGGCAAACTGAACTGAGGCAACTTCTGAAGAAGGTGACACTTGGAGAGGTTACAGGAGCTGCTATTTTTATATAATGTCTGCTTTTTAAAATTCTTTTGTTTTTAAAAAAAAGAATAACTAAGCTGAGGACCTGCATGCACTTCAATGCCAAAAAAAAATTCTTTTGTTTATGGATCTTATAAAATCTAGCTCACTAATATTTTTAAGCCTCAGCCCCCGGGACACCACAGCTCTTTTCAGTTTTTGCTTATACAAACTTCATTCTTTGTAGCAAACTAAGCTGAAGAAGTCTGGGAATTAAGTTTTGAAAACATTAATAAAATTCTTTGCCTGGTAAAAAAAAAATAGCAAAAATTTAAGAAACATTCGAATCTGAGTCTTATTACATATATTTCGGATGAAATGTTTGAAAGGTAGGTGATTTGGCAAATGCATCTTATTTCCATCTGGTTTTGTACTCACGTGAAGAATGGAATAGAATGTGAGCAATTAGACATTAGTTCTTTCTTCGTTTTGTTGGAGATTGAACCCCAGGCTATGGCTTATGCCATTCACATCCTTCTAACTCTGAGCTGCTTCCAAAATCCTAAATGCTAGTTGGAAATTCTCTTTATAGATGGTTGTGAGCCATCATGTGGTTGCTGGGAATTGAACTCAGGACCTTTGGAAGAGCAGCTGGTGATGTTAGCCTCTGAGCCATCTCTCCAGCCCCAAACTATTCCAGAAAATAGAAACAGAAGGAGCATTACCAACCCCTTTCTATGAGGTCACAGTCACCTTGGTACCTCAAATACCTCAACTGCACAAAGACCCAACAAAGAAAGAGAACTTTAGACCAATCTTGCTTTTTAACACCGATGCAAAAATACTCAAATAAAATACTCGCAGACCGAATCCAAGAACACATTAAAGATATCATCCACCACGACCAAGTGGGCGTCATCCCAGGCATCCAAAATCCTAAATGCATATTTTAAATAATGCTCAGAGGACTTTCCTAGCTGGAAACAGATACATGTATCATGAAGGCTGTGCTTCCTGTGTAGTATGCTCGTTTGTATTATAAATATAAACGACTAAGTGCTTTTAAGGACTACTTTAAATCGTACTTTCGCAGGTGTTCCTTCGTCATGCTGCCGCTGTCTTCAGCCTCTGTCTCTCGACGCCATGCTTCTTGCAACTAACAGAAAGAGAAAAAACGGGGCCCATTAATCTGCTCATCAACGGCTCCTGTACTGAAATTCTGCAGGAAAACATAGAGACACCGCATATCGTCCATGCTACTCTGTGCTCTTCCTCAGGGCTGAGGGAAGTATCTTTTGCAACAGGGATCCCAGGGCTCGCAACTTCAGTCTCTCAAGAGAGAGTTTGTTGACTATGATCTTGACATGAAACATATTATCCTTGCTTTTCAATTTGCAATCTTTTTTTTTTTGAGATAGAATCTCACCATGTGATCTGAGCTGACCATTAGCTCCCAACTCTGCTTGTACTTAATTCCCCTTTGCCAGAGTCAAGTTATATATGTCACACTCAGAATTTGAAATGAAAAATAATTTTGGAAATTCAAATTGACAAAATTTGGTGCTATAGAAAAAAATCCAAAGATATGCTTGGAGCATTTCGTTTTTAGATTCAGAGCACCTCTTCATTAACTATAAATTGAAAATCTTTGCACATATGAATGGTAGGGAAATACATCAGTTTCTCATTGGGTAACCAAGTGCTTCATGGAAGCAGGTAAGAGGCTGAGTGGTTGCACAGATGTCCCAATGCCTCAATTTATAGGTCCGTTATTACTGGCCATGTATTTTGAGGAAGTTAACTTTCCCTACCTCAGTTTCCTGATCTGTAAAATCGAAATAGTAATATCTAACTCAATGGACTTTGGGGAACGTTGCACTAGGAAACTATGTACTAGGAAACTTCCAGGAGTGTGAAGGCAACAGTCGTCCACCTTTGCTATTAGCTTCAGCATCACGGTCGAGTTAGATGTTCTACCAGAATTTGGTTTGGAGAAGAGCATGTGGGAAAGGAAGAGGTCTTACACACAGGTGTGTGGCATCACACTTCGCATCATCGAAAGGGGCAGGAATGGGAATGTGAGAGCGTGAGCACATCTCAGAACCTCGTCAAACACTCAGAGGTCCTGTTAGCCAAGATTCCGCTTCTCACCCACAGCAATTCACAGCTCACTCCCTTTCAGTAGTAGACTGCCTGTGCTTCCGTGGCTGGCCCACTCCTGCACGCCTGTGAGCAGCAACTCTTGGGCTGAGTGTGGCGGTGCTTAAAATGACAACAATAAAAAGGCATGGATGCTAGACAGATGCCTTCTCAACTACAGCCCTTGCTTCTTTTCAGAAAGACCCGAGTTGGTTTCCCAAAGCCCAAGTAACTAAGCTCCGAGGGGTCTGACATCTTCTGGCCTGTGCCGTCAGGACATGCAAGTGTGGAGACACAGACACACATGCATGCATGCACAGACACAGGCATACACACACACACACACACACACACACACACACACAAATACAAATAACAAAAATTAATCTTTAACCAAAAAAGGACATGATATTTGGAGGGAGATGTGTTTGGGGAGAGCTGGAGAGGGGAGTGAGAGAGGGTGTGATGAAAATACATTGCATACATGGATGGAATCCTCAAAGATTAAGCAAAAACATATAATACTAATAAAATAAAACAAAGTTCTCAAAATTCTTCAGTGTAAGCAAACATGCTTACAAACTTTAACATCTAGATGGGACACCTTTCAATTAAAAAAAAATACTCAAAGTAACATTTATGTGGTGGAGAGACTCACTTCCCATTCCTTCATTTGGAAAACATATGTTACGCAGTGGTCGAGGGCCAAGATTTACAAAGAATAATATGTAAAGGGAAAATATCAGAATGTAGCTTAAACGGATACAGTGCACTTCTATGCCACCCGTCCATGTTTTGCATGCGCAGCAGAGACCACCATGAAATGGTCAGTCTTAATGGCAGAGTAGACATCTCAAGTTCATGCGAGCAAATGTTTCTGATGGTCAGACTATGCTGAAAATTCCAGGCTGCCTATGTCAGGTTCTTATCCTGAAGCAAAACAGAACTCACTGTAATCAACTCAGCAAAGGTTATAGGTCACAGTATTTAAACACATTTAGAAGTAGGATTTTTTTTAACCAGCAAACTTACCTTATTCATATCATTTCTGAGATGCCTCAATTCCATATCTTGTGCTATAAGGCACATTTTGAGTCTTTGTTTTTCTCTTTTATGTTTCTCTTCTTTTTCAGTTAACTGCTTCTTAATTTTTGCATAGAAATAATGAGCATTTCTTTGTTGAGCTTCTTGTTTTCCAGCCAAACTGCAAATTGAACAGGATGACATTAAAAATTCATTTTGGCAAAAAGTGAGTTAATTTTATTATCCTATACTATTATGTATTTTTCCTTTACATTGACATCTATACTGTCACACTTTAATCTCTCCAAAGGATATATGGACTAGGAAGATTAAAAGCAAGGACTGTTTGGGAAACTGAGCAGTCTTTGCTACTAGCAATTCTGTGATCTTCGACATTATTCAGTAAAGTGAAAAGCTGAAAATTACACATATATTTTGTTGCTGATGCTATATTATTGTCTTTCTTAAATACTACTAATGCGCTGTTAGAATTAACAGAAAAATGAAGCTTCTTATTGCTTCTTAGGAGAAAAAAAAAAAAACCAGTATGGACAAATAATCCAATTGCTTCTTCAAAGGCACCATGCACTATACAAATTAAGCTTACACACACTCACGCACGCGTGCGCGCGCGCACACACACACACACACACACACACACACACACACACACACACACGTTCCGAGCAATTAGACTAGAGAAATAATTTAAAGAGTTGAAAATAGGAAAGGGAGATGTCAAAATGTTTACCAGCGATTCTATCCTCTGTGATTCTAAAATTAAACACCAACCCTGAAATCGTTCAGCCAATCATTGAACAAATGGGCTAATGAACCTAATAGACATTTCTCAAAATGAGAAACATAAAGAAGTCCATCAGCTAGCGCAGCACTTAAAATGTTTCTAGAAATCTGTGGCCTGCGTTAACCGTTCACACCCCTTTAGCGTAAACATTCATACCCCACACCAACGAGATCTACTTGCTGCTCTTCATTTTCATATCTGAGCTGCAATTTCGCTTTTCTTCTTTCTCGTGGCTTCTTCGGCACTGTACTATCTTGGCTTTTCAGGTTCTTACTTTTTTCTATAAGCAATTCTGAGTGGCGTCGGTTACGTTCTATTATCATCTTGTATGAATGAACTGCATCCTGGATTCCCAAAAGTTTTCCAGAATCTACATCAAGAAGGAATGGGTTGAAATTATATGCGTGAGCACTTTCTGCACACAGAGGTTTCTGCTTTTTCATACTCTGTCATTCATGGAGAGCAAATGCAGGCTGGGTGGCTACAGTCTGGAGTACATTATACTTTATTTAGCTCAAATCTGGTGGAGAAGACAGATAAGATGACCGTTAGGAATTCAGATGTCTGCCATGCCAAAACAGAGTCCTAGGGTTCCATAGAGCATATTTTGCACTGTATACAGAAAGATTTTTCCACACTAACAGTCTAAGGATGAGGAGTAAACATCCGTTTGGAAGGTGAAGAATGTCCTATCCAATCCAGACAATGGGCTGGGCTTTGTTGCAATGTCCTTTCCAGGCAAAGAGGAGAAATATACTCTGATTTATAGCACTATTACAAACAAAAATAAAGCACTACGAAGAACGTAAAAGCTGGAAGACAGGGAGCAGGGCTGTAACATGAATAGGTCCACTGCAGTCAGTAACTCACAACAGCTCTAGTTACCTGTAAAGACTTGCTCAAGATTGAGCTTGGCAGCATTCCTTCATGGATGAAGAAGAGTCCTATGTGGCCCCAGTGTTTTCTGAGGAGCTACTGGCTGTTAATGGCTGCTGAAGGAAAGGAGGAGTCATTTTTCTGCAAGGGTATATCTACAGCATTGCCCCAGGCTTTAGTAAAGAACCCTGTATCCATGCTCATTCCAGAAAACTTAACTAAATGTAGTCAGTCATATGAAAATAGAAAGGAAATTTGTTGGGAAGAAGGGATTCAGAGAAGTGGGAAGGCCATGAAGGAGGCTAAAAAGGAGGTGAACATAATTAAAATACATTATACACATGCATGCAATTGTCAAAGAAGAAATAAATAGAAAAAGTGCAAGCAAGCGAAATACAGCAAACAAATTATGAGGCCATGTGTTTCAGGCATGGAGAATATTTATCTTTGATAAGTAAATAAGTCTCCCTTGCTAATGTCTGGTTCCCTGGCATGAGAGTTTATTCAGGCCAATACATAAGAGCAAGCTGGTGCCAGTCAAACAGGATAATTGCACATAGAGGGATGAAACTTGATCTTCATCTCTCATCCTGCACAGTGTTCAACTCCAAATGCATCAAAGACCTCAACATAAGATCTGACACCCTAAATCTGATAAGGATGAAAATAGGAAATATGCTTGAATTTATTGGCATAGGAAAGGAATTTCTTAACAGGACCGTGATAGCTCTGGGATTAAGACCAAAAAATTAATAAATAGCAACTAATAAAATTAAAATGTTTCTGTACAACACAGGACAGTATCATTTCAGCAAAGAGGGAACTTCCAGGATGAGAAAAATTATTCACTAGCTATATATATGGCAGATGGTTAGCATCTAGGATATTAAAACAAAAACAAAAACAAAAAAAAAACTAAAAGAAAAAAATATCAAGAAAACAAACAACCGAAGTGAAAAATGGGACATGGGTCCGGAGAGATAGATCAGTGGTTAATACATTTGCTGCTCTTTTGAGGTTCAAGTCCCAGCTCCCACATAGCAGCTAACAACCATGCTTAACTCCAGTTCCAGGGCATCTACTGCCCTTTTGTGGCCTTTGTGGGCACCATACGTGAATATGGGGCATAGTGAATATTGACACACAGAAAATAAAAATTTAATGAAAATGAGTTCTCAAAAGAAGAAATACAAAAGGCTAATAAACATTTTTAAATGTCAAACATCATTAGCCATCAAGGAAACACAAATTAAAACTACTTTGAGATTTCATCTTACTTCACTTAGAATGGCTATAACAACAACAACAACAACAACAACAATAATAATAATAATAATAATAATAATAATAATAATAATAATAATAAAAAGACAAATGCTGGTATGGATGTGGGAGAATAGAATACTTACTGCTGGGATGAATGCAAAGTGGTATAACCAGTATAGAAATCAGTGTGGAAGTTTCCTTAAAAAATTAAGAGTGAGGAGATATAAGATTCCATGCACACTGCCCAAGAGTTGGCCATAAGTCTCAGTGTCTGCTTTTTGCAGGGCAGAGCCTTTCAGAGGCCCTCTGTGGCAGGTTCCTAGGTTGTTTCCTGTTTTCTTCTTCTTCTGATGTCCATCCTCTTTGCCTTTCAGGATGGGGATTGAGCGTTTTAGTCAGGGTCCTCTCTCTTGATTAGTTTCTTTAGATGTACAGATTTTAGTAGGTTTATCCTATATTATATGTCTATATGAGTGAGTATATACAGTGTGTATCTTTCTGCTTCTGGGACAGCTCACTCAGGATGATCCTTTCTAGGTCCCACCATTTACCTGTAAATTTCCTGATTTCCTTATTTTTCATTGCTGAGTAATACTCCATTGTGTAGATGTACCACAATTTCTGCATCCATTCTTCAGTTAGGGGCATCTGGGCTGTTTCCAGCTTCTGGCTATTACAAATAAAGCTGCTACAAACATGGTTGAGCAAATGTTCTTACTGTGTACTTGCGCCTCTTTTGGATATATGCCTAGGAGTGGTATAGCTGGATCTTGAGGAACCCCACAAGGAAATCAACAGGACCAGAAAATTTGAACACAGGGTTCTTCCCAGAGACTCATACTCCAACCAAGTACCAGGCATGGAGATAACCTAGAACACCTGCACAGATGTAGACCATGGCAGTTTAGTGTCCATGTGGGTTACATAACAATGGGAAGAGGGACTGCCTCTGACATAATCTGATTGGCCTGCTCTTTGATCACCTCCCCCCTGAGGGGGGAGCAGCCTTACCAGGCCACAGAAGATGACAATGCAGCCACTCCTGATGTGATCTGATAGACTAAGATCAGAAGAAAGGAGAGGAGGACCTTCCCTATCAGTGGACTTGGGGAGGGGCATAGGAGGAGATGAGGGAGGGAGGGTGGGATTGGGAAGGAATGAGGGAGGGGGCTACAGCTAGGATACAAAGTGAATAAATTGTAATTAATATAAAAAATAAAAATTTGATTTAAAAAATTAAGAGTTGATCCTCCTATATGATTCAACTATAATGCTCTTGGGCATATATTCATAATATTCTATATTCCACTATAGAATACATTATAGTCAGTGTTTATTGCTATTTTATTCATAATAGCCAGGAAATAAAAACAAACCAAGATGTCCACCAGCTAATTACTGGATAATAAAAAAAAAACATGGTAAATTAAATATTATCCAGCTATTAAAAATATACATTTCAGAGGAAAATGGATGTAGGTAGAAGCTATCACTATGAGTGAGGTAACCCAGATTTACAAATGTCACATGTTTTCTCTTGTCTGTGAATGCTGGCTTTGAATCTTCAACTAGTCATGTTTCATTTGGAATGCCCAGAGGAATCAAGAAAGTATTGAGGAACCACGGTGGGTGGAGGGGCCTTCAAAGGGGGCAGATAGCAGAGGCATCAGGTTTAAAGGGCACTAACGGAACAGGAAGGGTTCATTTGGGATGGGGAGTGGGAGGATAGAGGGGTCATACCTGGAGTTAATAAAAACACTATAGACATTAAAACTTCATATGGAAATATTTACCAGTGTAGAAGCTTTTACACACACACACACACACACACACACACACACACACACACACACACACACACAGAGAGAGAGAGAGAGAGAGAGAGAGAGAGAGAGAGAATGGAGTTGCCCTTTAACAGAAGAACTGTGCCCTACTAGATAGATACTGCAGGCTGACAAATATAAAGCCCAGTGCCAGGAATGGATTAACTCTTTTGGAATTATTGGCCAGTGAGGTCTCATAGACCATAAGACATTACAAGCATTGTCAATGCTATACTTGTCCTTCAGTATTTGGCAGTAAGGCGCCTTTTTTTTTTTTTGCAGACATCATGAAGTTGAGTCATAGAACATGGAGAAACCAAGCAAATACTGTCCTGGAAGATTAATCCCTACTGTCTAGCTCTCATAGTGTTGGAAGGTACTATGCATGCTTCCAGAGGAGGAAGGTAATCGCCAGTCTTACCCCGAGAGCTACAAGTAACACCGGCCTAGTAAGACAAGCCTGGCAGTGCACTCGTGACACGAGCGGCATGGGAGCAACCGAACGCTCTATGGATTTAAGCCTTACCCCACAAGCGGAAGCCCACTTTTGGTACCGTTTCTGGCTTATGAACCTGTGGCTAGAAAGTCCATCAGCCTTAGGGGAGACCCTACTGTTACTTTACTAACTAGACACAGTGTTAAATCTTTTCCCAAGAACTTATCATTATACCTATAAATGAACACATTTCTCAACTCCTCTGAAATGTGTACAAACATGACTTAACCGGTTTAAAGTTGCATATATTGTGGCTGTAAACAAATCAGCTACAAACAAAATGTAGCAATGTTTTAAAAATTTATTTGTGGTTTGGCTTGCTTTTCCATTTGTTTGTTTGTTTTTGTTTTTAAGGCAGGTTTCTCTGTGTAGCCCTGGTTGTCCTGGAACTAGATCTGTAGACCAGCCTGGCCTCAAATTCAATGATCCACGTGCTTCTACCTCCTGAAATCTGGGATTAAAGGCATATGTCACTACCGCCTGGCAAAATGTTGCAATTATTAGAAAAAAATTTTTAAAAAATTTCACTGAAGAGATAGAAATTGAAAAAGACGTCAGAAGATGAAGAGAATGCTCATATTTGCATGATAGAGTTTTATTATGAGGCAGACGTATCCTGAAAATGACTTATAAAGTAGTCCAATGTTTTCCAAAACCTCAATGAAATTTTTAACCGAATAAGAAAAAAAAATCAGAATTCACAAGGAATACAAATAGCCAATGTGCAGTGTTAATGCTGACTCATAGTCATGCTGCAGAGACACAGTAACCAAAGCAGCATGGCACCCAGAAATGCCCCCTACCTGACGTCGACTCCTTACTTTGAATACAGTTTCCAAAAATTCCTTAGTGAAAAGTCCACCTTTTCGAAAATGTGCAGGAGAAATAGTATGTTAGCCTGCATCCCTCTGCCTCACACTATACCCAAAATCTAAATAGATAAAAGTCCTCAATGGGAAACTCCAATTCAGAATTTGAAGATTGCCTCAGCATTATACCAAAGGCCTTACATTTATGCAATGGTCTTACCTTTATAGTTCATTTGAAGTTGGTCAACAATCATCAATATATTGTCATAATCAGGCAAATCATAATCCTCAGAGAGCGATTCAGATAACTGGTCATCATTCATAGCATCTATGTGTTCTACAGCCTGTAAAATAAACAATATCGTGTTGAAAAGTCCTCAGATACTTACACTACATCTTAAATGTAGCAATGTATTATCTGTCTATCTTTTTATGATTAAAAAATTCTTACAGATATGCAATGAACTGATTTTTCAAAGATTATCAATGGCTAGTCTTCATCACTCACTGTTTAATTTAAATTTCAACAGATAACAAACATTTCTAGACCTTTTCACTTTAGTCTTTATCATGCAGTTCACACATATTTTGCAATATTTCACTTCCTTTGTAAATTATTTTGAGTAAGACATTGTTTTAAATTTATTTTACAGTACCTTATTTTTTTCATCAGATGTTTTCTTATTCAGCCTACAAAGAAGACAAAAGTTCAACATTGAAATATGAAAAAAGATAATATTGAAAACTATTATATTTATAGAAAACATACATATATTTGTCCTACTTAGAAATTCACAAATTATTTCAAATATGACGAGCTTCTACAAGTGAGACTCAGTTAAAATAGAAGGTAACACTAAGAAACAAAACATACTATTACTAAAAGTATACAGATAATTAAATTCTGAGCATTTTCTGACAGCAAAAGCAACAAGAAAATATGATATTACTAATTTTATGAAAAGGAATATGTTGACTTTTTTATTGTCATATTTTATACAAATAAATCTTTATAGATGCTAACCCTAATTAAAAAGTAATAATCAAGTCTTCAAAGAAGGGCAACTCCTATCTTGTAGGGAAGACGGGAGTTAGCTGGTTTGGAGACTCCACTGTAATCTAAATTCAGTTTAATTCTCACAACAATTATGTGAGGTAGATGACAGTATCTTACAAAGGAAAAGACTAGGCTAAGAAAAGACCAAGGCACTTGACTTAAGTGGAAGAAGAATGTCAGTGGTGTATCATTCTCTTCAGGGCCCCCAGGGCTCAGTACTTTAGGCTCTGTTGGTCTTCTTTTGGAGCTCCTACCCCCAAACAAGGACCATGCATGGAGAGGACCTAAAACCTCAGCTCAGATGTAGCCCATAGGCTCAGTCTCCAAGTGGGGTCTTTAGTAAGGGGAGTAGGGGTTTTCTCTGGTATGAAATCAGTGGCTGGTTCTTTGATCACCTCCCCCTGATGGGGGAGCAGCCTTGGCCAGGCCACAGAGGAGGACAATGCAGCCAGTCCTGATGAGATCTGATAGGCTAGGGTCAAACAGAAGGGGAGTAGGACCTCCCCTACCAGTGGACTAGGGGAGGGGCATAGAGGAGAAGAGGGAGGGAGGGTGGGATTGGGAGGAGATGAGGGAAAGGGCCACAGCTGGGATACAAATTGAATAAATTGTAATAAATGATAAAAAAGAAAGAAAAATACAATGCCAGTGGCAGGTTGAATTCAAACCCAGGAATGGTTTGAAACCCAGCCAAACATGCTGGCTACACATGTTTCTTACTATGGTAGGTAAATTTATATTGCTTTTCTGGTTATAATTATAAGTAATTTCTCAACTTTCAAATATTTAAAACATTAAAAAGCCTAGATATATAGGCAATTTTGGAAATCTACATTCAATAAACATAGGGTTTATTTTTCTAAAGACATTTCTCAATAAGGGTATTTTTCTATTCACGTACTTATGCCTGCATTAAACAAATACTTATGGAGTGTATGGTGCATGCCAATAAAGTTGTTAATGAAAAGAAGTAGTGATTTCATACTATAGAACTTCATAATCCAAAAGCAACGACCTATGCTGTATTACTTTTGTATTAAACAATTACAAATTGTTCAGCTTTTCTGCAGAAAACAGCTATTAGACTGATATATTCAATATTTTGCAATACCCTATAAAATGATAAAAACATAGCTATGATGATTCTGGCAAAGGAACAAATGAGTTATTAGGATGTATTTACTATGATTCATGCTATTTGGATGTTTTTGTTACATAATTTAAAATATAGTACATGACAGCTTTAATATTAGATAATCATTTTAATGAACAGTTATATTATTGCATTTCTGGGCCAATTCAGAATGAATAACTAATTTCCATAAAATATAGAATAATCAGTATTTTAAAGGACTTTTAGCCAACTATAAATCTAATATATTATATTAGAATATGTAATGTTCTAATCTAATGAAGATCCAATTAAATTCAATAAACACAGTCTCAACTGGGTGATTTGAAACAACACGAAAACACCCTCTAAAACTTTTCATTAAGCATCTTTAGATGTGGAGGAGAAACTGTAGAGCCTGGAGAGATGTTTCATCAGTTAATAGCACATAATGCTCTTTCAGAGGATATGAATTTCGTTTCCAGCACCCATATCTGGAGAACCACACCTGGCTGTAACTCCCTCCCCATGGGGTTTGATACTTGCGGCTTCTTCAAGTACTTGTACTCACAATACATATCTCAAAGAGATACACATACTGAGAGTAATAAAACCTATTAAAAATGGTTCAGTGGTTAAGAATACTTACTGCTCTTCCAGAGCAGCTGAGTTAGATTCCCAGCACCCACATCAGGCAGCTTACAACTACCTGTAACTCCAGCTCCAGGTGATCCAATGCCCCTCTGACATTCTTTTTACACACACACACACACAAACACACACACACACACACACACACACACACACACACACACCAATTAAAATGAAAGAATTTTTTTAAAAGAAACTTTATTAAGTTACAGCTTTTTATTTTTTCCCTTTCCTTTTGCTATTACCCTTAACAGTAAACTTTTTCTAAGAAGTTGACAACATTTATCAATACAATCATGGTTCCATAGCATGCTAGCCTTCCCACTGCTGCTGCAAAATTCCTGCAGAAAGCAACTTTAGAAAGGAAAAGTTTATGTGGGTCATTGCTGAGCTAGTGGTTTATTAAAAAGGGGAAAGAATGAGGCAGAGTAGGATATGGCTGGTCATAAGATATCTACATTCAGAATTTTTCTTAAGAGTTTTTTTCTTAAAATTTATTGTATTATTTTAAACTATGATATATCTGTGGTTCCATGTACATGGATACCAGATGCATTATGCATTGATTAACTCAAATAAATGTAATGAACTGGATAAAATTACAAGCTGTCTATTTTTATTTGTCTTTAAGCTAAAATGCAGCCAACACTATCCAGACACAAGGAAAGAGAAATTAGCACCCAGTTCAAAACATAAATGACAAAGCTGTAATAAATCAAGACTATATCTGAGCATACATATGAAGTTACGTCTGAGCAACAGAAGCCTAGAAGAATGGCATAAAATAGGAGCTACCCAACAACAACAACAACAACAACAACAACAACACACACACACACACACAAATAAAATGCCAAGAAAACTAATTTACTCAAAGAACAAAATGGAAGCAGAACTGTACGCCACCCATGCATTTCCTAGGAACTTGGGAGTTGAAAGCGGAGAACCCCCAGAAACAAGAGGAGATTAACACTGCACTAGGCTTGAATGCTGCACTAGAATGCCGCTGTTTATTGCTCATGGAAAATGGCATTAACAGGATTAATAATTCAATTTGTGCTAAGCTTTTTGTTCTGTGTTGGAATATAGTAATACTGGACTTAGTTGAAACATTTAAAGATCACAGAAAACATGTACTATGAAAGGGAAAGACAAAGGAAGATCTTGGAAACAAAGTCTTCTTTTATAATGACTATTTGTTGTCATGTGCAGTTGAAGATAGCCATGTTATTTTTTTATCTATCTGCTCACTTCACATTCACAATGATCCCTGGCCTTGGGGAAATGGGACGCAATAATGATAATAATTTACAGCAAGAAGAGCTGCTCTGTTGATAACTGAGGGCTACACCAGCATACAGACATAAGTCATTAGTATTACTGTAATAACCTGCTTCTTTGGCAGAATAAGAATGGTAGGTTCTTCTCTAGGGCTTCTAACTGGTACATTCAGAGGTTCTTGGTTCCAGTAATGGTGCCATATATGGGTTCAGTCTCAAGTGGAATGGGTGTGGTTGTTTCCATAACATTTATGCCACTATTGAATATGGGCATATCTTGCCATGAAAGCAATTATTGTCGTAGCTCACCCAGCTCGCAGCTTGGTAAAATTAATGATTACCTTTCCATTTTGGTAGCATGCACAAAGCCTTCCAGCACTATGGAAGCTAGCCAAGAGGGATGAAACTTGAAGGTCAGTATCAGCTTGATTTCTCCATGTCTTATGGCTCAAGTTATGTAGTGTCTTTAGCATAACATCACCAGTGGTGTAGGATGCAGTGTCTTCAGGAAGACATCACCAGCTGTCTAATTAGAACTAAGAACTGCCTAATAAAATGCAGTTCATGCCTGCTGCTGTAACCTCAGTCAAATATTCCTAGCGAGCAATGCTTTTATATGCTAGAGGAGAACTTACTACTGCTATTTTTCTAAACTAATATAATTTCTATGTGTATTCTAAATACTATGGCCACTGAGGAGTGTAGCTGTCATCCCTCATTAAAGAATCTTCTTCCTCAGGACACACAGGTTGCTACAGAGATCCACAACTAGTTGAAATGCGGAAGGCAAGACACCACAGGCTGCTACTATGGCTGGTTTAAATGTCAACTTGCCATACATTAGACTAGGCTGAGTAGGGAGCCTCACTTGAGGAGGTGTCCTGATTGCCTTGACTTATGTGGGAGGGCCTATCCTGCCCATTCTTATGTGGGCAGCACCCTGATAGGAGCTCAGATTAAAAAAAAAAGAGGTATTTCAGGAGAAAGTTTATCCTAGTTTTTCGATTGTTGGCCTTCCCTCTTGCCATTGAATTGATTTGCCTCATTGTTGCTGCTACTGCTAATGCAATCATTGGCAGTAGAACCAGTAAGTTTCCAAGCTTTTACTGTGGAGAATGGATCAGCGGTTCCTTAGAAACTTTCTGGGATCCAGTGCCAGACTGAGACTACCAAGGCACCCCACCTCATAGACTGAGCGACCACCAGTCATTACTCCCTATTGAGGAGCAGATATTCTGAGACTATTCCAATGGTTAAGGCACTTAGCCTTATAGCACCGGGTTCTCAATGTCTCAGGTGTGATTTGGCTATCATTATTTTAAAACTCAGTAAATTCTGACATATACCAGAATATGTAGATATATATTCTGATATCTATATCTATATATCTATATATATCTCCTCTTGGTTCTGCTCCACTATAAAACCCTGATTAAAATAAGTGTCTACCCCCAATTAACATATCTGCAGTATAACCCCTACATCAAAGACATAAGGAACATTGTTAGAAGAGGGGGCAGGAAGATTGTAAGATCAAGAGGATGATATGCTAGCTGTGAGAAGGTGTCTTCTGGACATACCTTGGAAGCTACATCCATATTGTCTCAGCGAGAGTGTCCAAACCAGGCCTGCATAATACCACAGCAATTGGCAATCCAATTGTGAAGGAAGTGGGTATTTCACAAGGTATTTTGCCTAACGGAAGAGCTATGGGCAATCAATGGTGGCCAAGAGAGGAAGAAACAATTTTCCCCGGGAACAAGCTTCCTGTTGGGTTAGCCAGTCCCAAGCAGTCACCTGTAAACTCGTGTACATGTACATGTGAACAACAGTAAATGGGCCCAGCAGTACATATATGTAGCAATAATTATGGAGAAGTCATGAATTTGAGGAATTGGAGCAGGAAGAAGGATGGGTGGGTGGAATGTAAATACAGTAGTCATTTATAAAATTTTCAAAAAAAGGGAAAAACTTTAATTTTAAAAAGGCATCTAATTCTAGGGCACTTTCAAAGCAGCAATATGTATACAGAGTAATTATATTCAAGTATGAATTCTATAGTATGAAAAGTGCATAAAATAAGCTAAATTTACACACTGAGTTCATTTTATATGTTTATGAAGGTACTATGGAAATGTAATGTGGTTCATAACAAAATATGTTTACAAAGGGGACTATATTAAATGGAAAATTCACTGTATTAGTAGTATCTTGTACTTAGCCAAAATGTCACTGAACTAGTCCCTGTGGGCTGAATTTAGCACGCAGTTTCTCTCTATCAGCTATTTCTGTGGTGCTGGGGAACTGAACCAAGGGCAGTCCTATGCAACCCGAGCACTTTACCACTGAACTGTAGTATAACACTTGAAAATACTGACCTGGGGCACGATGATCAATCCTCACTTAGAAAGACAAATGGGATGGGTATTGGATGTAGGAGAAAACAAGCAACAGGACAGGAGCCTACCGCAGAGGGCCCCTGAAAGACTCTACCTAGCAGTGTAAGTGTATCAAAGCAGATACTAAGACTCATAACCAAACCTTCGGCAGAGTGCAGAGAATCATAAGAAAGAAAGGGGTGTTAATATGACCTGGAGAGGATAGGAGTTCCACAAGGACTAACTATATCTGGGCACAGGGGTCTTTTATGAGACTGTTTCTCCAACCAAGGATCATGTATGGATATAACCTAGAACCTTTGCTTGGATGTAGCCCATGGCAGCTCAATATCCAAGTGGGTACCCTAGCAGGGGGAATAAAGACTATTTCTGACATGAACTCAATAGTGGGCTCTTTGACACTGCCCCCCACCCCCCAAGGGAGAAGCAGCCCTACCTGGCCACAGAGGACTTTGCAGCCAGTCCTGAAGATACCTGATAAACCAGGGTCAGATGAAAGGGGAGGAGGTCCTCCCCTATCAGTGGACTTGGAAAGGGGCAGGGAGGAGATGAGGGAGGGAAGGTGGGATTGGGAGGGAAAGAGGGAGCAGGATACAGCTGGGATGCAAAGTTAATAAATTGTAACTAATATTAAAAAAGGAAAGAAAGAAGAAAGAAAGAAAGAAAGAAAGAAAGAAAGAAAGAAAGAAAGAAAGAAAATGCTGTGATTTTTTTTTAAAATCCACATTATTCAGTTATATATTAAGTACCTGACCAAGGTTACTTAGGTATAGGGTTGACCCAAGGTTCATAGTAGCTCACGTTTTCCCTTTATTCAGTCTAGAACTACAGCCCACTGAACAAGGTTGCCCACAGTAATGGTGGCTTTCTTCACCTCAAGTAACTTAATCTTCAGAGTTGTTCACGAATGGACCCATTGCCTCTCTGTTATTATTCTCCCTGTCAAGTAGACAACAGAACAAGGAGGAACCCATCCCTTTTCAACTTGACACCCAAACATGTGTCTGTTAAATTAAAATCTTTGTCCTTGTGTACCCACCAAAGATCTGATTGTGAAAGCTAAGCTGTGGGCGTAGAAGATATTGTAAAAGAAACAGGGATCTCTGCTACAAATGTATCCTTCCAAAAAGTATTTGTCAAGTTCAGTTAAAAACGCTGCACCGGAAATTACACCCCCTGCCATGGTCTTTCTAATTAAACAGTTGTCAGTCTAATGGGAAACAATGGTATCTCATTATATTCTTTTGATGTCAGGGCAAGTCTGAACATCCCTAGTAAAAGCAGACGATTTGTTAAGCACGAACATTGGGCCAAATTGGAATTAGTTTCTTAGGACAGTAACAATGATACAGTATTAAATATTACCTCACTTACCCAACATGCTTTTTGTGTGTAACAGGAAATTGCTTGGTATGAGCCTTCCTACAATGCGTTTGTAGAATGGATCCATTTCTAACGCTAGTATCGGAAATAGCTACAGCGGCTGCATTAGCCTCACCATGACCACCAACATTAGATGATGATGTTTCATCATCATCATCATCATCATCAGCAGCAGCAGCAGAAGCAGTGTTGCCGTAAGATGGCTTTTTTGCTGTGTTCATCTTGTTGCTGGCCCTCCTCTTCCTTCTCTGCTTAACCTGCAGATAGAGTTAGCTACTAAGATTACTGACACTTTTAAATGGAAACAGCTTGGTTTTCATCAGCCTTGTCACTTTACCCAGTTCCATTTTCATAATTGCAATTAAAGAGACCTCTTTCTTTGTGTAGCTAAGCATTGTCATTACAGAATTATTCACCTCATAGTTTTCTTTTGAATCGCTGCTTTCTATTCAAAATGTTCACTGCCTGTAAGGTTCACCTGTGTAGAAAGACACATGGGTGTCGCCTCCTGTTTTCACTAGCCATATTTCACATTCGAGAATCAATTCAGAGAATGTCATGTGTGGCTCTAGCAACAAAGTGATTGTTTTAACCTAAATTGAAAGTCCCGTTGAGATGCATGCTGTAGAGGTTGTGGAGAGACGGGAACCCTCCTCCATTGCCGGTGGGAATATAACCTTGTATAACCACTTTGGAAATCAATCTGGAGCTTTCTGAGAAAATTAGGAATAGTGCTACCTTAAGATCCATCTATACCACTCCTAGGCATATACCCAAAAGAGTCCCACTAGTCAATAAGGACATTTGCTCAACTATGTTCATAGCAGCTTTATTTTGTAATAGCCAGAATCTGGAAACAACCTAGATGTCCCTCAATGGAGGAATAGAAACAGAAAGTGTGGTACATTTACACAATGGAATACTACTCAGCAATTAAAAACAAGGAAATCATGAAATTTGCAGGCAAATGGTGTGATCTAGAAAAGATCGTCCTGAGTGAGGTATCCCAGAAGCAGAAAGACACACATGCTATATACTCAATTATAAGTGGATATTAGACATTTATTATAGGATAAACATACTAAACTCTGTATACCTAGAGGAGCTAAGCAAGAAGGAGGACCCTGGGTAAGGTGATCAATCCTCACTCAGAAAGACAAATGGAAGTGGGAGAAAACAGGAAACAGGACAGAAGCCTACCACAGAGAGACTCTGAAAGACTCTACCCAGCAGGGTGTCAAAGCAGATGCTGAGACTCAAAACCAAACTTTGGGAAGAGTGCAGGGAATCTTATGAAAGAAGGGGGAGATAGTAAGACCTGGAGAGGACAGGAGCCTCACAAGAAGAGCAACAGAACCAAGAAATCTGGGCCCAGGGGTCTTTTCTGAGACTGATACTCATCCAGGGACCATTCATGGATATAACCTAGATAGCCTAGAACCCCTGCTCAGATGTAGTCAATGGCAGCTCAGTACCCAAGTAGGTTCCCTAGTAAGAGGAACAGAGACTGTCTCTGACATGAACTCAGTGGCTGGCTCTTTGATTACCTCCCCCTGAGGGGGGGAGCAGTTTTACCAGGCCACAGAGGAGGACAATGCAGCCAGTGCTGATCAGACCTGATAAGCTAGGGTCAGATGGAAGGGGAGGAAGACCTCCCCTATCAGTGGACTTGGAGAAGGGCATGGAAGGAAATAATGGAGGGAGGGTGGGATTGAGAGGGAATGAGGGTGGGAGCCACAGCTAGGATACAAAATGAATAAACTGTAAGTAATACAAAAAAAATAAAAATTAAATAAAAAAGACACAAATGATATATACTCACTTATAAGTGGATATCAGACATACAATACAGGGTAAACATATTAAAATCTATAGTCCTAAAAAAGCTAAACAAGGAGAATCCTAGGGAAGATGCTTAATCCTAATTCAGAAGGGCAAACAGGATAGACATTGGAAGTAGGAGAAGACAAGGAACAGGACAGGAGTCTTCCACAGAGGAACTCTAAAAGACTCCCCATCAGGATATGAAAGGAGATAATGAGACTCATAGCCAAACTTTGGACAGAGTGCCGGAACCCTTATGGAGGAAGGAGATATAAAGACCTGGAGGGGACAGAAACTCTACGAGGAAAACAACAGAGCCAAAATAGCTAGGCCCAGGGGGTCCTGCAGGAAATGATACTCCAACCAAGGACCATTCATGCAGAGGACTTAGACTCCCTGTTCAAAGGAAGCCCATAGGTTGCTCAGTTTCCAAGCGAGTTCCCTAGTAAAGGGAACAGGGACTGTCTCTGACATGAACTCAGTGGCTGGCTCTTTGATCTCCCCCCATCCCCAGGGGGATGTAGCATTGCCAGGCCACAGAAAAAAGATGATGCAGCCAGCTATGATGAGACTTGTTAGGCTAGGGTCAGATAGAAGGGGAGGAGGTCCTCCCCTGTCAGGGGACTAGGGAAAGGGCAAAGGGGAAGAGGAGGGAGGGTGGGTAGGACTGGGAGGAGATGAAGGAGGGGGCTGCAGAGGGGATACAAAGTGAATACATTGTAATAAATGAAGGAAGGAAGGAAGGAAGGAAGGAAGGAAGGAAGGAAGGAAGGAAGGAAGGAAGGAAGGAAGAAAGGAAGGAAGGAATACAATTTAAAAATCTCATCTAATATACCTATGAGAGACAAATAGAAAGCCTAAAGATGATGTAGGCATAAGTCATATGTGGGCTTTCACTCACATTCTCCTTGAGTGGGGGTGTGATCCGTTGCATGATATTTCCCATTTTAGTTGTGGTTGTTTGACCAACAAGCCCTGTTTATACTTGAGGCTGAGCTGGATGTGCAGACATCACATACACCACTGTTCTTACTTTCTTCTTGGAAGATTTTCTTTTTTTATTATTTTTTTACTTTTTATATTAATTATAGTTTAAAACTTGCCTACTCTCCATTTACAGAACTTTGGAAAAGTGGCTTAAATTCACTGCAAATGCTCACTCCTTAAGATATTGTCTAGTGATTTTTTACAAGACAAGCCTTCATATACTATGCATGGAGATAACCTAGAACCCCTGCACAGATGTAGTCCATGGCAGTTCAGTGTCCAAGTGGATTCCATTGTAATGGGAACAGGGACTGTCTCTGACATAAACTGATTGGCCTGCTCTTTGATCACCTCGCCCTGAGGGGGAAGCAGCCTTGCCAGGCCACAGAAGATGACAATGCAGCCATTCCTGATGAGATCTGACAGACTAAAATCAGAAGGAAGGAGAGGGGGACCTCCCCTATCAATGACTTGGGGAGGGGTATGCATGAAGAAGGGGGAGGGAAGGTGGGATTAGGAGGGAATGAGTGAGGGGCTTATGGGGGGATACAAAGTGAACAAAGTGTAATTAATAAAAGCTAAAAAAAAATTTACCAAAATCAAATTAAATGGCTTTAATAGTATATGAAGACTTGTCTTGTAAAAAATTACTATACAATATCTTAAGTAGTGAGCATTTACAGTGAATTTAAGCCACCTATCCAAAATTCTGTAAATGGAGAATAGGCAAGTTTTAAACTATTTTGTGATCAAAATCAACCCAGTCTCAAAGAAAATCAAATTACTTCATTGTAATTCAAATCATATGCTATGACAATGTTTGTACCAATGAGTCCAATCCAGTATATTCTAATATTTACTCCAGTTAGCAGACCACGCCATCAAATAAAAATTTCTCAGTTTCTACACTGGAATGTAATACATTAGAAAGCCACTCTCGGTATATCAAAACATCACTTGTCCCTTCTGGAAGGTGTCATTTCCTTATCTTAGATAGCAGAGGTGACCTTATAACTCACTTCTTTCCTATAGTGTGAATATTGACATTAGTCACTGTCAAGAAGGAAAAACTACACTTTTGACCTTGCAGAGACTGAATGTCAGTAGGAACCAAGAAAATTTGTCCTGATAAAAATTATTACCTGACCCATAAACACAACACTGTCACTATTTCTTTATTATGTAAGGAGGCATATACATGGGATGCAAAGATTCAAAAAAAGTCCTCTCACTTCAAAGGTAAAACTTTTATGAATATTCTAATTTTTATATATTTCAGCATTTTCAAATTAAATATTAAACATTATAGATTCTACAGTGAACTATAAGGTGTTATGCTACATTATTAAACAATTACATTAAATGAGAACTTTAGTGTAAAAGTTTACTCACCAGCGACGGACTGGTGTCACTGCCATCATCCTTGTTCTGTTCTTCCCTGGATGACACATAGAAGTTTGGTTCTGCTAAAAATCCAAACACTTAAATCAAAGAAGAAAGAAAAGCTAAATAAAACGACAATCTGTATAACAGCATAGAAGGGCAAGATGGCTCAGCAGGTAAAGGTACTTGCTGCCAATAGTGATGGTCCGGGTGTGATACCCACGACCACCAATACGGTGGAAGGAGAGAACTGACTCCTTAAGTTGCACTCATGTACCCCTCTTGCCCCCTGAAAAATACGCAATAAATAAATGAACAAATAAATACATATAAAAATTATAAATCAACAACCTAGGAACCTGCTACAGAGGACCTCTGAAAGCCAGAAGAAGAAAACAGGAAACAACCTAGGAACCTGCCACAGAGGGCCTCTGAAAGCCTCTGCCCTGCAGACTATCAAAGCAGATGCTGAGCCATTGTCGGGCAGAGTGAATGGAATTTTATGTAAGAAGTGGGAAATAGTAAGAGCTGGAGAGGACAGGAACTCCACAAGGAGAGCAACAGAACAAGAAAATTTCAACACAGGGAACTTCCCAGAGACTCATACTCCAACCAAGGACTATTCATGGAGATAACCTAGAACCCCTGCACAGATGTAGCCCATGGCAGTTCAGTGTCCAAGTGGGTTACATAATAATGGGAAGAAGGACTGCCTCTGACATAATCTGATTGGCCTGCTCTTTGATCAGGCCTGAGAGGGGGGAGCAGCCTTACCAGGCCACAGAAGATGACAATGCAGCCACTTCTAATGAGAACTGATAGACTAAGATCAGAAAGAAGAGGACCTCCCCTATCAGTGGACTTGGGGAGGGGCATGCATGCAGAAAGGGGAGGGAGGGTGGGATCGGGAGGGGAGGAGGGAGGGGCTTATGGGGGGGGTACAAAGTGAATAAAGTGTAATTAATAAAAGTTAAATAAAAAAATAAAAAATTATAAATCAAAATTTTGTTTTCAAAAGAAATTGATTAAGTCTAATCATTACTTGACTATCACTCCCCTCCCTTTCTTGGCTACATGCTTATTGAAAGTTATTGGAAATTACCTCACATATCAGTATTTTACTTGGACAGACACTACACTGTATCATGTTCAGAAACAGAACGGTATCGATGAACAAACCTTCAGAGACAACGTTTTAAGTACAACAGAAACACTCACCATTTCCTAGCTCAGCACTGATGCTTAAACAATCTGCATTTTAGTCATCAAAAATAGTCTTCCTTTCCCTCCTTCATTTATGAATAAATATGACGTCCCTTCCACCCGCTTTATCTATGTTTCATCAAACTTCTTTCCTTCCCTTGAGACTCATACATGGTGGAAAGTCATCACTGATTGTGGCAATTTTATTCTGCTAGAACAAGCATCTCTTTTGAGTTTTTAACAGTTCATTTTTTTTAATTGTCACTCTGGTACTTGAAATTTAAACGAGTGTTGCATGCCAACTTCTTTCATTCCTGGACTGTGTATGAGGGGCAAACTTTTTGTGCTATTTTCACACCCAAGATCATGAATTTCTGCTTCATTTCTCTTGTATTCATACTTTATGCATTTCTTATTAATTTATCAGTTCACACCACTCTTTGTTAGAGCTCAATACTTCTCAGGTGTCTGAGTATTTTAAAATTGATTTAAGGTGGCAGTTCCATTTGCAGCCTGTGATGAACTTGATATCTAACTTATTACCATTTGAGTTCTGTTTGAACTCTCTGCATATGTTATACAATTTTTCATTGGCTCATGGCATGTACCGGGGCTTGTGACCTAGGTAATTACGCCACCAAATTGCTTTGGACTAGATTTCTGACCTTTCATTCGTCCATTTGCCCCGTTTTCTCTTCTCTGAGCTGCAGGCTTAGGTAAGTGTACATCATCCTCCTGTGCAGTAGGCTCAGAGATGGTCCGCTGAAATCAGAGTCAAGAAAGATTTTCATAAGGATCCCTCATGCATTACTGAAAAGACAGCTTACTTTCTTATTTCAAAGCAAAACATTGGAAAATCAGGGGTAATTATATTAAAACTATTAAGTAGAGTGCCTCATGGGGCTGTCTAAATCATGACCAACATTTTTTTTTTCATGTAGCTATAGATTACTACATAAACCAAGCTCGAAAAGATGGTGGAAACATACTCAGAGATAGCATGTGTCAACAATAGTTTTGAATATAAAATTTAACATTGTTTTTCTCAGGAAAATATAGGTGTATATATACATGTTAAAAGCTTTGAAATTCCTTTGATAGTTTCACATATTAATGAACAGATGTCTTTTTTACCACCCACTCTCCTCTCTCATGCTCTTCCTCACTCCCTTCCTTTCCTGCTGAATCCCTCATTCCCATCATGCTGTCATGCTGCTCTCCTTTCTTCTGTGTGACCCGCTTATTTTAATTAGTTACTTGCCTGAGTGTATGTGTGTAGTTACTTACTGAGGCAACGGCTCAGTATATATAAACAAATCCACCCTACGCCCAGCACTGAAGCAAATGACACGCCTTTCTGGTTGTTAACTGCCGATAATGTCGTGTTTGTCATGGAGGCAGCCAACTGCTTTCTGATTGGATTTTGGCTCACTCTATAGCAAGATTCTCATGTCTGATCTGTAAGCCCGGTCAAGAGTTCATGGCTAGAGAGATAAAATGTCTTAGTGGGAAACCTACTACCACTGACTTGCTCAGTGGCCATATTTTCAAACTGCTTTCTAAATATTCATGCTTATACACATACAGAAGTGTTACGCTGAGTCCTCACTGAAGAAACGTCTTGCTTTAGTAGACAATAGTTAATACAGAAACCCGTGACAGACGAGAGTTCCAGTAATGGTACAGCGGCGGGCCCTAAGTGAAACAGCAAATAATCCCTCAGGGTTCAAGGATCATTGAAGAAGAGGGGGTAGGAGGATGTAAAAAGAAGAGTGTATCAAAAGAAGACTTTTTTTTTTTTTTAAAGCAACATAATGGACTGGGGAGATAACTCAGAGGTCCTTCTTTTCCAGAGGTCCTGCAATTCCCAGCAACCACATGGCGGCTCACAACCGTGTATAATGAGATCTGGCGCCCTCTTCTGGTGTGAAGGCATCCACCCCAGAATACTGTATACATAATAAATAAATAAATCTTTCAAAAAAGCGACATATTAAATAAGTTCTTATATGTAATGTGGTGTGATTACTGTGATACAGTAACAACCATTTAGGGGAATTTCAATGAATGAAGTTGTTTTAAGGGAGAATAATATATATTTAATAAAAATAATATGCCACTTTGAGAATAAAGAAAACGTCTTATAAGTTTTTGTCCCCTCCCCCCCCCCCCCGTGGATAAAGTGGGGATAAATTCTTGAGGAGGCTGGGAAGCCTCTGTAAACAAACAAACAAATAACAACAACAACAACAAAACAAAACAAAAACCCAGTGTGGTCATGCATTCCTGCCCATGAAATCAGATTGCTTGCTCGTGTGTGTGTGTGTTTGTGTGTGTGTGTGTGTGTGTGTGTGTGTGTGTGTGTGTGTGTGTGTCAAAGGTTGGGTTTGCTGACGGTGCATCCATGTCCACCTTCAGTGAGAGACACTGCATCAAGGGAGTAACAGGGCTGAGAATGCAGCCCTCCTCAGCCCTCCTCTGCCATGCTATGTTTATCCAGGCTTCATGCAATGCACGCGCACACAAACACATATTGTGGGCATGCATACATCTCTGTTACACCCACTCCATACATAACAGTGCTAAATATCATAGGTAAATATTATAGTACGAAGCCAGGCATGGTGCCACACACCTTTAATCCCAGTGTTCAGGAGGCAGTAGCAGGCAGATCTCTGTGAGTTGGAGGCCAGTCTGATCTACAAACCAAGTCCAGGACAGCCAAGACTACACAGAGAAACCTTGTCTCAAAACACACACACACACACACACACACACACACACACACACACACACAC